GAACCATTTGATTCCATGACAAACCCAATCCTTAATGATCTCTGTATATGTCTTTCCCTCCTTTCTTTTGACAACCTTTTGCTCCTGGTCTTCTGAGGATGTAGGTTTTTCTTGTTCTTGCATAATCAGTATTCTAGATCTGTGTTCAGGTCTTCTGGTTCTTTTGTCCTCTTCGGTAAATAAAGGTTATTATTAATTATAACTATCAAATTATAGTTTTAAATTATTTAATTAAAATAATTAATGTAGAATTCTATATTAAAAAAAGTCAAAATTTGATAATAGTAAAAGGTCAATTAAAATTGAACTTTTGAATAAAGAAAAAAAGCCTATAATTCAACAAATAAATTGAAATATTAGAAAACTTTGGATGATAATTAAATATAGTATATTGTATACTCTTTGAGAATACTAATAAACAATTATTAATGGAAATGAATAAAATAATAGATAGTATTGAATAATATAAGAAATCAATTATTTATATTTAGAAAAACTTAAAAACAAATCAACTCTTATATCATTATTAATGTACCTAGATTTTTAAGCCTTTTTTTATATACCAATACTTTTATAAAGGATTGAGAACTGTTCTAAATCAATTAAATAGATAATAAAATAAACATATAATAGTTTATATAAGTTAAAGTCTTGTAGAATCCAAATTTAACTATTTCTCTACTGAAAAACTATTTCTAAACTTAACAATAATAAAATAATCTTTTTAAAAAACAAGCAATATATTATCTTATCCAATACTATACACTTTTCTAATATAATACTAAAAATTTATTGAAACTACTTAAGGTTATTAATGCAATGGAATTGAAATCAATTTTATATAACTTTTATAAAAATATTTTTACTAGATATTTTGAAATTGAAGCAATTTATAATTAAGCAAGGAGTCTATATTATTGATCTAATTAATGCAAATCTATTATTAAATATATTAAATATTATGATACTTACTAATAATTAAGAATCTATATATTATATAGAAAACTTCACTTTATACTTGCAAAACAATCTTTTGGGTATATAAGAATTGATTTATTGAATTTTTATCAATCATTTCTCAAGGTAGCCAATATATTGTTATAATTACTATATATCTTACCAAGTAGCTTGAAATCAAAGTACTCAAAAATATTAAAATTACTACTATTGCAAAATTTATATATAAGAATATTATATATTGATATATAAGTTTAAATACCATTTGTCAATAAGTTAATGGATATTATATACAAATTAATGATTATTCATTACTAACACTCAACTACTTACTATCCACAAACAAATAGATTAATTGAATGATTCAACAAAACTCTTTGCAACATCTTGACCAAATATATAAGTGATTATGGTGACACATAAATACTTTTTTGAACTTAGCACTATTTGTTTCAAAAATATACTACTAAGTATTCATCATTAAAACTAATTTATAACTGCTAAACAAGGTTACCTATTGATTTTCAGGATATCAAACAGGAGTCTAGTAAAATTTTGGATCAACAACTACATTTGAGTAAGCCAAACATCAACACAAAGTATAATTCTGAACTTAACACCCGTGATACTGAACGTGATACTATGTTTAATAAAATTTTTGCCAACTGTGATGCCCGAATCACCACCGAGCTTGCCAATCGTGATGCCAGATTCATAACTGAACTCACCGATTATCATGCCAAATTTAACGCTGAACTTACCTCACAACGAAAACTTTATATCGGAGGTCCAAAGAATCTTGATAATGCTAAATACTTCTACTGTGAGACTTGATGAGATCGAAAAAGTTCTTCAAAACTATCATAACGATTTTGGCAGAGTCGCTTATCGAAACTCTCCAAAATGAAATTAATCGATATTATTCCGTTGTCCAGGCATGAAGTGTCATTTCTCGATCAATCCAAAGCTTCCAATTCAAGCCAAAGATCATTTTCAGATATGACTTCAGAAATCTGGAACCAATTTAAAATTATTTTTGATAGAATTATGGCAGAAAGGAAATGTTCTTTGATGTTGCGTAATGTGTCATGTGGTAATGATTGATCTCAATCTTGGGGGTGGAAAAACTTAGTAAGAATATAATCAAAAATTATTATCGTAGAATCAACGATTTAAGAGATAGTAATTTAGATAAAATCAGTTCGTGATCGATAGCAAAACAGTTAATAGTGTGTGGCGGGAAGGGACTCTCATTTACGGGTTAGGGCTCTCTCTTGAAACTCGCTACTCCATTCATTTTTTATAAATCGATTTTGAAAAAATTAAGATTTGCAAATTTCAACACAAAATAAAACTTTTTTATTGCTTCATCAATGTGAACTAAACTTTTCTCTATAAACTAATATATGCAGTATATCGATTAATGTCTCTGTTGACATTCCCAAATCCCATTACTACCTGAATGTAGTCGGAATTAATTTCAAAATATTTATTTCGTGCTTTTCTAGACTTACTTTCCACTGTCACGTCTGTATCACTTTCGCTTGTAATCTATATAAATATTATCTCTAATCCGTCCTCGAAGCCTGATAAGTTTGATTTTATTTGGACAAATACTGGAGAAAAATTTTCCCTCAGAATCTGAATGACTACTCTTAACAAGGGTAATCTGTACTGGGGAAACATACAACTTATTATTTGTTTGCAAAATCAGCAATCCATCAATCACCTCTTGGTTCCAACACCGTGGTAAGTAAAGCATACATTTCCCTTCTTTCGAAGAAAATCGGATTTTTTTTTTCATCATCAAAAAATTCCATATCGTCAGGCTTAAAATTTACACGGTTCACCATGATTCCATTCTTAAAAATACTAGCAATACACGCCTTCTCCACAAAAATCCTTTAACCGATGGGGGGGGGTTTTTTTTTTTGAATTTCTCTATTGCAACTGAACTACTTTATATCTGTAAATACTTCCATTTGCCCTTTTCATAGAGATATTTCGCCATGCAATCCCGTGCCATCCCACAGACATAATGACAGAGTTGATTTTCAATGTAGAAGAAGCGATGATCAAAATCATTAAATCCGTAGCCACTTGGAGGATTTCTTTTTGTCAGGGACGATGACATCAATTTGACGTGTCTGTGTAAATAGAGAAGTCAGTTTTCATACAGTTTGCCAATCACGAAGCAAACTAAAAATACATACAAATCCCAACTTTTATTGTCTAGTTTATAAATATTCTCTGAAAAGCTTGTCATCGGCTCTTGTATTTTTGATTTTAATTGTCGATTTAAGTAGCCCAATGCATCTTCAAAATTCTTACAATCAGATTCCAGCAAAACGTTTAAGAAGAGCGGAATATTGCCGGTGATATCTTCAATTTGATCCTTCTGCTGATTATTCATTGTTGGTAAAACGGAATTATACTTCTTCCACCACTCTTCAATCTCCTCCTAAATTAAACATTACATTAACACACAGAAAACTCACAACGTAGGGAATCTTAGTCTTACCTTATCGAACCCTCCATAAAGTTAAATTTTCTTTTCATTAGTCAGATTTTGCTTAAGGTTCAATGCTGCTTTGTTGTTTGCTGAAGAACTCTTGATATAAAAATTGCCTACACACATTTTATCGAGGTTTCCTTTAACTTGAATCTTTTTCTCTAGGTTAATTCCAGTATTATCACAATCATCCAGAGCATTCATTTGGTCTACGATAAAATATAGCCCCTCATCTAATGATCTACAGAATTTTATGATTTGATCAAAATTTTCACAGGCATTAATTTCGCTTATTTTCGCATCATCTTCCACATAGGTGAGAAATAAGGCTGATTTGATGTAGTTTACTGGGTTTACAGCCAGTTCGCGGCAATCGGGAAGATATACGACACGCCTTTCGCTCCGGAGAAGAAAGCAAGCTATTGCTGCGAGAATATGCGACTTTCCATACCCAACTGTGCCATA